CACACACACATGTACTTGTTTCTTAGTCTGCTCAAAGGACTGTAGCAGGAGAGGACCTGTTGCGATCATGCAGGGCTGTGGCTGGGCTGCGGCTGGGCTGCGGCTCCCATCAGCCCTGGCCAGGATGGCCCGTGGTGAGGAACGCTGGGCTATGTAGTTCCGTTGCATAGGGAGGCTGCACTTTCCCCTTCCTGGAATTCCAGGAAGTCGTTTGTCATCCATTCCTCTTTTATGCTCATGAGATGTCATACGTGATACCTTTAAGTGCTTGGTGGCAGGACGGCCTAGTTAGGCAGAAAAAAAAAATTGAATGTGGAGAGCAAAGACTCGAGTGCGAAGGGCTGAATTCATGCCTGCCTTCTGGTCCCCCCCCTCCCCTGTGAAATGTGTTTGGTGAAAAGGTTGTGCTTGCAGGTCTGTGAATGTTGTTGTTGCAGCTCTTGTGATGGTGAAGGAAAATGGAGGGTGGATCACCCGGGCATGACTCTCACCACCTTCTGTGTGTGTGTGTGGGTTATGTATAAATATAGAGGACACAGCCTTGGCGCGTCTTATGTCTGAAGAAGTGGGTTTTGGTCTACGGAACTCCCACTGAAATAGGTTGATCACTTGGAGTGCCTTTTCTCTCTCGCTGCCCTTTTGGGACAAACGGAGAGGACCTCCTCTCTAGAGATGGGACTGGAATCCTGAAAATGTAAAGCCCTGCCCCTTTCGGTCGGTCTATAGAAACAGCCCGAAGGCCGTTGGAGACGTACAAAGTGCAGAGGAAAGAGATCTTCAAGCCCTGGAGGGAGATGTTGGCTAGACTGGGATTATATTGGGGGAAATGGCTTGTTCTGCTCCGCAAGGACTCGTGTCGGTGTTTTAACTTGTCCCTTGCACACAAGAGTGGATTTGGAGGTTCAAGAGATATTGGATTGAAGGAGTTTATTTGATTTATATCCCGCCCATCTGATTGAAGGAATAGACAAAGCTGACGTTGGGGTTTCCATCCCATGTGGTTGAGAGGCCTGTGACGGCTACGGGCACCTAGCCTTTGGGGGATTTTATGGGTTTTTTAAATGGCTACTAGTGTAGGCGGAATAACTCATATTTTAATGTTCGTCAGCTAGTGAAATAGAGATGATTTCATCTTAGCAATTGGGATCGGCTTCTACCCGATCCCCTTGCCCCGTTGGGAAAGTCAAGCAAGGAACTGGAAAAAGAAAAAAGATTCAGAATTAGAGGAAAAGAGACTCTGAGGGGGAGTGAACAATAAAATATTTAAAGTGTGGCCGTGACCCACAACTTACATGGGCAGCTTCCTAGTTCCATTCTTTTGAGGTGTGTTTGTGTGTCTTCGGGTAGCTTTGCTCAACTTTCTGGTTTTATGTGGGAAAGGATTTGTTTGAGCTGTGGGGTTTAAAGGCGTCACATCTATGAGCTAAGCTGTCCATGCAGGCTTCTAGAGAGGACTGCCGCCACGCCACTGCTAATTATTGATTGATTGCCTTT